GATATTTTTGTATATTATAGAATTTTGTTTAAAAGGCGCAATGAATATAGGTATAAAGCTGCACCTACTATATGCATTTGCATTAAATAATTAAAAAATAAAACTCTGACTTACCTTATAAAAATTAATATGTATCAAAAAAATAAACCACTACGTTTTAGTGGCATATTAAATAATATCAACTAATATAAACTAAACAAACATTTTAACAATTAAATTGTAGCAAATATCTTTAAACACATTGAATTCAGAGAAATGTGCTACTTATTCCAATACCCCCTGATGTAAGTACATTCAAATTCCCTTGATTCTTATTCACCATATTATTTAATACTATATTTAATATATAATAATACGCATATACTTGTATTTATGTTAGGACGTTTCCCGTGAACAAAAAATTATTAAAAAAAATACATTTTTTCCCTCTCCTTCTCCAGCAATAATTTTAGAGTATGTACGAGTATATAATAACATTATGAAGTTCAAAGCTTTACATAAAAATATTTCATTTGCATATTTATAGGAGCGGAAAACAATTAAATCAATTAAAATTAATTTACTTAATTTGTTTTATTTTTATATACGGAAATAGACGTTTATAAATACTAGTGACAGATACTATATATCTAATATTTAAACATTTATTTTAACAGACATTTTCTGATCTAAGTAAATCATGGAGTTAAGACAATGAGTTATGATTACATATATAAATTAATAGAAATGTATTGAATGATTATTATTTTTATGTGCATATAAATTTCTTTCTACATATTAACTATGTTATATGTTTATATGTCATCATATAAAAATATTATATCAAAATATTAATATCAAAATCATATACATATACTAAAATGTATTTACTTTAATAGTAACTTGTAAAAAATAAAATATAAATTAGTAAATTAAATTTTATTTCGACACATAATAAAGTATTAAAATTTAATTTACTAATTAATATATTATTTGTAACCAGTTACTATTAAAGTATGCTCTATTTTAAACTGACCATAATTAAGCCCTCGATTATTTAACAAATAAATTTAATTTACCGAATAGATAATAACTAAACTGTATATAAACCGTATATAATATTATATGTACTGTATTGAGGTATTGTAATAAGTAGCCTGAAAAAAGTTAGAAATATATATATCATACGAAACCTTGTCTATATCCTGTGTATATTGTTAATTTAGTTCTAACTTTTTATTTATTATATATTGTATTATTTAAAGAAAAAATAGAAAAGTCAATCCATTGTAAGTAACTGAAAAGTAAATAGTTGTAAAAAATTTATTTTAGATTTCAAATGAAAGTAAAAAAGTAGATTAATAAATAAATAAATTTGCCAATTGCGAGTGTTTTGTTTTTGTATAAAAATTTTGTTTATTATGAAAATATAAAATGCTTAATTTCAAAAATATATTTAAATAACAATTTCACAAAATAATAATTTTTCGTACTACATTATGCTTCTAATATAAAATATAATAAATAAATAATTAATTAGTAACATTAATTTTGATCATTGATCGATCGTTCATACAAATTAAAAAAAAAATATTTTAAATACTAAAATACTAATATAAAAACAATTATTAAAATAATAATCCAGAAGTATAGTAGTTTTTTAAAATAATCATATTTAAACAATTGTTTATAAATACATTTTCAAAGTCAAAATTGAAATTGTTTTACTTAAAAAAAATGCAAATTAATTTTTTAATTACTTATATATAACACACAAAAAATTTATAAAATTGCCAATTCAAATTTTTAAAATTATTTTTAATTTTTTGTAATGCATTTTCTACTTATTAAATAAATAAAATCGAATTTCATTTACTTAACTATTGTGTATATATATTTTTTTTAATATTTAACAACAAAACTTAAAATTGCTATTTAATTTCTTCAAACATAAACTGCTTTCCTTAGCATTTTTAGTGTTTATTAAATAATTATACATATATGTATATAATACATAGTTATTTTTTTCATTAATTTGCTTGTTTGTTTATTTATTATATATGTTTCATTCTTTGTTTTTAATTTTTATTATATATCACGTTCAAGTACTTACTAGGTCATATGATATCAGCTACGTTTTTCGAGCAAAAAGCTGAATGATATGAAATTAATTAATCTTTTAAAAATTCTCTTTTTAAATATATTTTGATATATTACTATTAAAGTAATAATTCATATTTAATATGAGTATTTTTTAGAATATTCACTAAACCTAATTAAATCTGCTTAGAATAATTTTAATATATATGAAAAATAAATTAATATTAATATAAAATTGGCTAACAAAATGTAAGCATAATTTTTTCATAAGAATTTTTTAAAATAATTAAATTGATATATGAATAATTTTTTATATTAAACGACAAGAAAAAGAAATTTAGTGATACTTTCTGAATGATCATTTCTATATATGCTCCGAACAAATTCAAAAAAAAAAATTAATTAATATTATCATAAAATCGGCAGTCATAAAGTTGAAGCTGAGGTCTTAGATATACGGATATATACTCTTATACTCCTATAGAGCAGGTCATGGAATTTAACTACCTTGGAGCTAAAATAACATCATCAAAGGTCCTAAGTGATGAAGCTACCGCTCAAACAAACACAGCAGCTGGCGTAATAGGTAGTCTTAGAGATACTACATGGCGCAACAAATATCTAAGGTTTAGAGGAAAAGTCCGAAGATATAAAACTTATATATAAAACTTATAAACTTTAGACTTATATCGACGTATGCCATTGATAGAAGGCGATATGAAAACCACCGAAAATGCTATATTCAAAACTGAAATGCACACTCTGCGCTCGATAGCTGACTTCAATCATCGGGACCAAATCCGCAATGACGACATTAGGTGAATCTGCGAGGTACCGGACATAATTAAATGAAGTAGACGAAGACGGAAGGAATAGAATCTGCATCTTCAAAGAATGGAAAATCAAGGTATTGTAATTGTAATGGTAGAGAAACCAACAGTCGCGAAAATACCCGGTCGACCGCCGAAAAAATGGCGTGAATGCTGGAAGTCTGACTCTACAGAAACATAATAATTTGATATGTCATAATTTTGCATAAATATATCCAATTCAATTGTAACAATCAATTAAACATGATTTATTCGTATAATAAAGAAGAAGAAGTAAACGTAGCGGTTGACTTTCTAAGTTAACAGTCAATCAGTTTCGGATTTAAGTTTTAAAAATTAAGTTATTTTTGAAGTTACAATGGGTCTCCTGTAATAAACATGATCCTAATAGGGTCCCTAAAACATTTAATGCTAGTATTTTTAAAAATAACTAAATTTTTGAGTTTTAGCTCTGATTTTTAAAAAAAATGTATAAATAAAGCTTATGATATTCTCTTACTTTGTAGGTCAGTAAACATTTTTCAATATAGAAGTTCATAAGTTCATTTAAAAGGAACTTTACTTACTTACTTATATATTTACTTACTGTAGTCCTCTTCTCTTTGTGGAACAGAAGGTCTCTATATGTAGAAAGACTCTAACCTGCCTATATCGATTCATTGTGTCTGGTTCTTTATGCTTTATTAAAAATGCATAGAAACATATAACAGAAGTATACATTTAAATATAAGAAATCTGAGTCCTTAATTAGGGCTCAGAGCTTTATATGTTATAAGAAATAAAGCATTATTATATCGATATCTAGTTTAATATTATTAATAATTAAAGCTTAACAGATTTGGAGTCACGATTATTATCAAAAATTTCTTTCAAAAGTACTATAGAAATTTTTTTGCTACTGGATATTTGGAGTTTCTTTAAAAATGTCTTAATAATAAGAATAAGAAAGATTGTAATCTGATGTATATCTACTATATACTACCATGGCTTACTATATGTCAACATTATTCATTATTACTCCTTAGAACAAGGGTGAACATGATTTCTTCTGTTATTTTAATAGTTTGGAGTATATAGATTCTATTTGCATTTATTGCGTTTTCAAAGGAACTTGTTCTATGTAATAGTCTAAATAATATACCAATTATATAAAAATGATTGAATTTGTAAATATATAATAGAAGTATTGATGTTTAATGAGTAAAAATTTAATTATAAATTTTTAAAAAATTCTTATGTTAAGTTTATCTTTCATTAGCGGATGCGCCTATTGTTTATGTATATAAATATTTATACATATATATACGTGTATGTAGATTCAATATAATATTGAATGTCAAATTTTATATACATATATATATGTATTTAAAAAAAGGGGAAATTAAATAAAATTAGTTATATTAATATAATTTATAGTAGACAATAGTAAACAAAGATCTCAAAGTATTACTTCATTGATATATGTATTTAATATTAGATAATAATGAAATCAATATATTCTTAAATAATTGAATCAACTTCTATACTAATTTATATGTAAGTAATGTTCTATTTTACTTTTTATTATTTTATTCGACAAATAAACATATTTTTATTATTATTTTACAATTTTTTGCGGTATTTAACAAAAATATGCACGCACATGCCCAAGAACAACATGCATTGAAATTAAAAACTATTTTAGTAAAATTAAAAATAGGAGAGTTAAAGTTGAACTAAATTTAAACTGCGAAAACCCACACTATACATTATAGTATAGAATATGATATTAAGTTACTATTTCACATTCCATCGATATAAATCGATATTGAGCAGTTCAAAATTAGTTTTTTATTTAAAGCTTTCTACTTCTTTCTATGGAAGTTTTTAAAGTTTTGCAGTTTACTTTGTATTATATTTAAATTCAACAAAAATACAAAAAATAAATATTTAAAACTACATAACAAAATTATTTACTAAAAGGTGTAACAACTACTTAGTATATATACATATATAGTATACTTAGGAAAAAGAATGTGTTCAATTAGTCTAACAAATGTTTTTTTTTTTGCTAAATGTACGTACTACTCTAAAAATAATAACAATTGAGTCTAGTTTAAGTTAGTAGGGTAGAGGAAAGTATTTTTTTTTAAATATAATTCTATATAATTGTTGTCTTTTTATTGTATATATTCATAATATCTTCGATAAAAAAGAGCCTCCTCTCTATCTGTGTATAACAATTTGTGATGATGATGAGCGAGATGGTAATGAAGATGTTAGTAAGAGTTGTTCAGGTTGTTTCAGTTGCAGTTGCATACGATTTTTGAACTGATTTAGTATAAGGATTAGCAATGATATAGAAATTATGAAATGGTAACTATTTGGTAATAAATTTTTACTAGAATTGCACATATCTTCCTCACAAAAGCACATATGTCCATTGCCTGAACTTTCCATCATGCACACATGATCGACCATAAATAAATTTATTTGTAATTGCGAAGTACACATACGACGTACAACTTCATACGCTGAAAAGAAATTTAAATTATATTATTTATATTAATATGTATTTTAAAAAATAAAAATAAAAATAAATTTTTATAATTAAATTATGAATAGAAAAAATAAAAAAAATAAAAAAAGAGAAATATTAGATTCGGCTTTACCAAATCATTGAAGTCCCATTTATATGATAATATATAAAATATAACATATAATAATTATAAATAATATAATATCTTATGTTAGTGAAAAGAGCTGCTTTAAACTTTTTTCTCATACTTATAATCCGTTAAATATTAAAATTAAAGGATCTGTTGGTATGGATGGCAGTACATATAATGTAGGATATGAATAAGATGAATATAAACTAATAGTTCGTAAGACAACTATATCCAAAACTGATCCGAATGATATCGTTTTTACTATTACTAATATTAATATTAATCGGAACATCTAAGTAATCTGGGCATTTGAATTTAGAAAGATTGCTTCAAAACCTCACTCGGAACATCTAAGTAATCGGCGCATATTGTTAACATCATACAAATTGTTACTGAGTTCTTTCTGTGCTAAAATTTTTAATAAAAGATGGAAAGACTCAACGATATCCAGGCATCAGTATGCATAATGATCACTTTCCACTAAAAGGAAATTCAATAGCCTCATAGGATATGAGATTATTCCGTAAAAATATCAGTCTTATGGTAGGTTTACTTACAGGTCATTGCAGACTAAGGAACCATGCTAGAAGATTGAATCTCCTTTTCAATCATACCTGTCGCAGACGATGAAAATGTCTATCATCTACTCTGTCTTTGCCCGGGTCATGCACGTCGCCGGCTCAACACTTTAGCAGCCCCCTTTCTTGAGGATCTTGATCCTCCCACGAAACAGCGTTCTAAGCTTTGCCAAAGGTGATTTCAAACCCTGAGTTTCCTCTATATACGCTAACACAATGGGTATAATATAACCTAACCTATATTAGGTTAATCTAATATTAATAAATAAACATATATTGGTTTATATGCGAGCTATATAATAATAAAAATTATTATTAAATTATTATTATGTTTTTAAAATTAAATCCCATTGTTAAAAACTTAACAATACCATCAGCAAAAGTAGACGATTTTTCTTACAAATTACTTATACTAAGCTATACTTAATATAGGTATTATAGTACTTATAAGTTTAGTTGAAAATCTATACAACTTATTTAAAAAAAAAGCTCATAACATATATATTTGAATCTCATGCCGATAGATATGTGGCATTAGGCCATATTTTTAGAAAAAATATATATAAAGGGATGTGAATGTTAATAGCTCCCAGCAGAAACGTGACATAGGAATATTGAAGAAAGTTTTCAATAACAACATTATCTCTAGAAATAGAGATCTCCAGATATGAGTCTAATCGGATTATTTCTTATAAAGATATTTGAAGTTGTCTAAGCCAACAATGGCTACAATTTCGGAAACCAACAAAAATTACTCTATTTGTAAGACGGTGTTAAATAAACAATAAAATAATCGAAAGTGGCAACTCCTGGTTCCAATTTCTGGACATAAAAATTATTTATCGAATCAAAAAATAATTGCTTAATTCAAATAATTTGTAGACAGCCATATAGCTAGGGGCACCTTGTGGGACTGAAGCTCTCTAAAATGAATCGAATGATTATATTTATAGGTATGTATATTATAAAAGTATATTATTATTTTTTGTAAGTTGTTGAAATTATATGAAAGCCCTCTCTGAAGTAAATTTCTGCTTATGGGTGTTTTATTATAATCTATATCTTTCAGCTTCTAAATAATAGTAAAAAATAAATCTCAATACTTTTTAATGATTTGTTTCAAGATAAGTTTAGCAAAATTTTAATAGATCGATCGACGTTGTTGTATGAAAAATTTTTAAAGTTTCTATACTGTTTCTATATACTACTAATAAACTAATAAACGAATATAGCAGAAACATATAAAAAATTTTAGAGAGTCTCGCATTTATTTTTATATTGTCGCGTATTATTTTTTTGGGATATAATATAAGGTATAATTATATAAACATAATAAATATATACTTATAATAGTTTTTAGGACTACCTATGAATGTATATATAACAATATATAACAATATATATAAGGTATAATTATATAAACATAATAAATATATACTTATATTAGTTTTTAGGACTACATATGAATGTATATATAACAATATATAGTTGTTCATATTGGAAGTATGGTAATTTGAAATTCTTAATACTTACGTGATTTAGAGTGTCGCACCATTTTTACACAACAACCATTGCATGTCATTAATGGCGGT